AATACTACCCACATCAGAGCCTGGAATAGTCAGTTTATCAGGCATATATTTACGGTAAGCCTGAAATTATGAAAATACAGTAAAACCCTAAGACACACCTTGTACAGCCCTAGGTGGAGATGCCTGTTGGTTTGGCGCACTGGATATCTGCCGTTGTTTGAATCTGAAAACAGGATTGTGCATGACTCCAAAGCAAGTTGTGGAAGTAGTTCAGTGGTTTTCAATATTGAACAGCTAGCAAGCGATTATATACTTAATTATTATAATAATAACAGCCGCAATCGTGGAGTAGTCAATATATTGTATGTCGTCACTAGAGGCCAGCAGACCCTCGTATTCACGATGGGAAAGAGGCCGGTTGGAACTTCGACATGGACGGTGACACGAACGACGACGAGAGAAAGACATCGTCATTAAGGGCGATAAAAGTAGTACAAATAATAATTAAAAATTCAACGAACTCGAAGGATGAAGGGATTGTGCACACTGTGATGGTCCGCCAACTGTCTGATGTTCCTTGTTCACCCTAAATTAAAGAGGTACTAACACTGAAAATACAGACGTATAAGATATTCAGGAATGTTCAGACTAGTTCCGCAAACAGATTTTACTCCCGTATCCTTGACATTTAGCCACTGATGAATGGATTCGTAACATAAGTATACACTACCAACTTTCTTCGACTCTAAAAACACTCTTCTGCGAATCTGAGCGAGACGGATCCAACGCGATTCACTCGCAAGATGTACGCGATTTACTGGATCATTTGACCATTGATTCAGATGAAGCCAAACCTGAAAAAGGATAACGTAAAAAAGAAAGAAAGAGGAAATATGTATCTGCAGCTGCTTTAAGCAAATATGATCAATTACCGACGAAAGTGACCGCTCAATCTTGTCCGCATCCATATGTGGAATGGACTTGTGTTTCCTAGTTCGGAGTCGTTCTTCGTCAACAAAAGGATGCATTTCGAATAATTTAATTGTGTCTCCAAGAGTCATACCTAGAATTGAAAATCTGACAATCATTCAAGAATTCATTAATAATTCAAAGTCGGAAATTTTTGATATCGCATACAATGACTATCACTTCAGAGTGTCCCCTACTAATTGAAAGTCGTGTATTTTAAACTCATTCAAGTGCTCACGCGATGAGCGATCTTTTAAGAATTGCCAAAGCGAATCAATGTGAGCTATGGAATCAGGTGTGGTTCACTAGGACAGAAAGCGACTTTTTCGCGTTTCGCAGCGCGAAACATCGTTCGCTGCGGGAATCTCGGGTCCACTGATGATTCGCTGCGGGAACCTCGGTCCACTGATGATCAGCGGTGTCACCTGAATCGATGTCCTGGTGACCTGCCAGGTTCGCAGCCGAATTGTTCTTCGCGCTCGCAACGCAAAAAGTCGCTTGCGATTCCTAAATAACCCACCCATTGCGAATCATGACTACTATCAAAAACATACCTTTCAATGTAGTTCAGGGAGATGCGACACACAAAACAGTCACCAGAGTTATTCCAACCTTCTGTAACGAAATCTTTCGAACATAAAATCAAGGTCCTTCTACGGATAATAAATCTCCAATTAACCGAAATAAAACTCCACAAAAAAAGTGAAATTGTGCGACCACGGACCTACAGTCAAGCACTCACTCCAGCAAAGCTTTCCATAATTTCACTCAGCTCGTTCAAATCCGTACTGTCGATGAATAGATTCTCATCACCTGAATAATTACATTGCTCTTGCATGATACAAATAAGAGGTTTATCTTTTTGAGAAAAATTCGCTCAAAAAAGAGCAGCAATATAAAAATGGGAAAGGCGACAGGACAGCAGCCTAGGAGACTGATAGGAAAAGCCATACGAACGTGCACTATCGAAAAATGGCTTTATTTACATCACCGAAATACATATTCCATTTTTAGACCATATACTTGGCCCGGGCCAATTGACCAGTACACTTGATTGACGGTATCCCACGCATGAAAGTTGTCACGGTAATCCTTCTGCATCCTCTGACTCCTCCCTATGAGACAAGACACCAATTAACCTCAAACTTTCATTCCGCGCACCCCTACAAGTGCGACTCATTCCGTGTTAGCTACTCACTCTCACCGACAGCCGTTTCATCCATCAGAAAAAAGGAAGCATATAATCTTACCCCATGCGCACGCGATTACACAAAATTTCTTGAATGATAAATACCTTACATCATATCCTTCCACTGCCAAAATAGCGCCACCAAAGCGTCCACTTTGTGCCCGAACAATCGACACAACAGCTTAGACACGATCAATGGCGGGCTCACAATCTGCAAAACTCTATAACAATTAGCTCCTTAAACAGCAACAGCTTTTAAACAATTAATTTGTAAAACGTACAAGCATGAGGTAGGACACAATTGTAGCCGCAAGATCAGAGAATTTCGTCCGCTCAAAAACATGATCGTGAACTATGTGGTAGATGTAGCCCATCGGCGAGCCCATCTGAATTCATAAATCCCTCTGTCATGATTAATGGGTAGACAGCTTGTTTCCGAAACATACCGCCACTCCACAATCGCAAGCGACCAACGGAGAAACTCCAGCTGTTTTCATAAGTCTCATCTCATCATGCCGGATATGTGCAGCTATGTGACGAACTATTGACATGCGATCAGCTGTGTGTCAGCAAGAGTGACCACACTCAGCACGAGCACATGATATGCTGCATACTCGCAAAATAGCTCTTTCTATATAAAAACTGCATGCTTACAATTATTCGTTCTCGGTCTATAAACGGTGCCATTCTATGTAGATTGGTAAGAGTGCTTCTGTAGCCAAAGCCAAGATGGTACGATACTTCAGAGGGCTGGCATTGTCGCCTTGGTCAAAGCTTGAAGAAATCAAACATCCGATCGCGAAAACTGATGTCGAACACTAGAGCGCGAAAACAAACAATAAGCTAGATGTCTTCTGCAATCCGAAAAACAGCTAGAGAGAAAGGCCAACGTATTAGTCTGGGACTTGTAAGCGAAGGATAGAAGCCGTAAAAAAAGTTCCATGACAAAGCCGTATGCCTGCTGTGGATCGAACGTTACACAAACCCTCGAAAAGGAGAAATAAAAAAGCACGGAAGGAATCAGTCGACAATAAAATTTCACGACCATTTGCCACCGACACGAAGTCTTACCGTTATCTAAAACAACAGTTGCTTGCCGCACTAGCTCACACATCTCATTTTCCGACTCCAACAAATAATACCACAAGAGGATTAACAAATTTTGCAGTATCCAGTTTGTTCAATGTAATATTTCAGCACGATGAACAGTATCAGCCTTCTAGTACAAGCCATTGGATTTCCCAGGTATTAACGAGTAAACCAGCGTTAGAGCGAATTAAAAGAAGCAAAGACTTAAGAATGATTGAGATAGGAAGTTGTTTAACGGCCAAAATAATGATACCTACCTTATCAAGCACTGTTCCCGAAATGCGTCAAGGAACGGCGGCAACGAAAGAACCAAAAACTGCTCAAAGTTGACGGACAGAAAATCACCTTGAGGCTTGTGTCATTTTTCGGCATCACCAAACTTTAACCATGCCTCACTCTATGAGAGCAATTTCAAAACATAAAAGTAGATAGGTCATAAGTTGCAAAAGGAAAAAAACAGCACAAACCTGATCGGATTCAAAATTTCCTATCCCGAGAACATCAGCACTATCATAAGTAACGCTGTCGGCGTCGCTATTGAAACTGAATTGTGGATTTTTCAAAAAGATATTATATTTCTACGAGAAACCCGAAGTACCTTTCTGTCGTAAATGTACTAGTAGAATGCGTCCTTCCCAAACTACCTTTGCTAGCTCGTGAAGGAGCCTTTTTCGAGCTGTCTGAAACTCGCTCGAACTACGTAAATATGAACAAAAGAAGTACGCCAAATATTACCTTTCTTAGGTTTTGATGATCTATTGGCACGGCGACCCTTTCTTCGCTTGATGCTCAAAGATTCTGGTGGACGGAAAGGGTTTCCATTATTACCATGCAGAATCCGGTATACAAGTGGGACACATATGCCGAACAACTTAATGCAAAACGATTCATTTGTAGTGAACTACTAACAAAGAAAAACGTAAAAGGCGAACCTTGGCAAGAAGATCCCCGTATACACGCTCCATAATTCTAGAGTTTATTGTACCACTGAGATCCGTTAGGTGTTCTTTTTCAAAATATTCTTCTAAACTGAAATCCATGCAGCTCAAAAGCCGCTTATCCTGAAATACATTGAATAGTAATTACGAAATGAAGCAGTATTTCCTACAAAAGAAGGACAACTTACCCCGAAAAAGCTTTCGCCTCTGCCAGGGATCTTGCCTGATTCTTCACGTATGTGCAGACGCACATGTGACGAAACTTCGTCACGCATGCGACTCGAATCATGAAACACTGTTGGTGACCAGTCACAAACAAGGCAGGTGATTATACTAAAAGCGGAGAAAGATAAGAGGATCAAAAAGAACTCAATTCCGTATTTAAATCAAACACGCAATACCTGACACCAGCCATTTGTTGTCGACGAGGTGGCGTTTCTTGACTCGCCTTCTCTGAACGCTTATTCCTTTCCGAATCCATTGAAATGTCACCTTCGTTTCTTGCATGATCTCCATTTCGATGTGATTTCTCCTGCAAATTTACTATAATAACCCATACTAGAGTGATAGGTCTGTTACACAACCTGTGCGCCACTTCGGTTCTGATGACACCGCTTCAGAAGCAATGTTCGTTTCCATGTCCACGGCTCTTGAGGTCGACTGCTCGCCCCCAGAGTTCTGAACAGGATTCCACAACAAAATGAATGAAAGAAAAGAAAGGACGAAGTCGCATAAGAGTAGTAGTTACATTGTTATTTGTTGAACTGTTTTGAAGGGCTTCATTTTGAGGATCCTCATCTGCACCATCAGGAGAGTATTTGGGCTCCATTGCGCTACCAATTGTCGAACTCGACTCGTTTTCTTCCTCACCATCACTCTATAAAGAGAACTCTGGCGTACAGTAATGCATGGGATTACTTTTCTCGCGCAAACTGTTACCTGAGTAAAAGTTAGGCTTATAAGATCGTTCGAAAAACTGTTACGGTTTGTGATATATTAAGTTGAATGCTATTTTTTAAATGTATTGTTCTTATTCAACTGCCAGTCACGTCAAATATATTTTATTGCACATTTTTTCGCTACTATCAAAAAGATGGCAGTTGGCGTCGAAGACTCGAATGTGTTTTTGGAAAATTTGATGCCAAAAATTCTAAAAACTTCGCAACTCGCTTTTAGCATTATGCGTTGCCCACTGGAGGAAGTATCTAACAGAGAACTATAATCTATTATCTGTACAATTTTTGTTGGAATTTCAGCAAGAGGAAGTGATCAGTGGAGTTTGAGGTCATTTTCATAAGAAAACATCCGAAAGTAAAAAGGAAACGCAGCTTACAAGAACTATGGTGTTCCCGATCATCGTCTTCAGTCTGCACCACCAGCGTCCTGTTCAGCAGTTCCACTATAACAAAAAAGAGTAATAAAGTTCACGAAATAAAGAAAGGAAGAAGAGTCTCCAAGAGAAGTGAGAGATGGAGGATAACTTAAATAGCGTTACCTTTGATTATATGGCAATTTCTTTTGCGTTCGTTTTTCTTGGAACGTTGTAAAAAGGTACACGTTGGATCCGTACGAAAAAATTCAGACCATTATCCGCTAGGATGTCCTATGGTCTCTTTCCCAATGCTCACACCTTAATTAGAATTTGTAAGGAGAGGAAAGCAAAAGAATGAATCTACAATAAACACCCAAAACAGAGAAAACACTAACAAGGTCAAGATCGTTGAACATACAGCCGAATACGCATGCAACGTCACTGGTTTTCTGCGGCAGATCACATATTGGGCAGATGAGGACGGGGGCAGGCTCCAGAAGAGCTTCGAAAGCAATACGATGAGCAGCGGCATGTGAGCGTCCTCTGTCAGAATCGCGAAGTTCCGAACCAGGGATCTGCAAGAAACGTTAATAAAATGTCTGGGAGCATTTTAATTTGATCAGAAAATGTGAATTAGAAAGTGTGAGTTTTTCGGCACATGACACAACCAAGTGGAGACATATGCTGTCAGAAAATCTGTCCCGCATCCAATCTATGTTGTCACACACAAGTATGCAAACAAATCGGGAATAAAAAGCTCCAAACACAATATGACAAGAAATTGAAGAGACAATTAGGGGAAAGTGGTGGAACATAAACTTGTTTGATCATATTTTTAGCGAGAAAATGGCGTTGAATTGTGAAGAGTTGTACAATGGTACATAGATCGAAACAACAGTCTCATATTTTTCACCTAGCCACTTCCGCAATCTTATCAGCGACATGGAGATTTGGCGCACACAATATGCACTCAATCGGTCAATTCATCCACGCTTTCTCGCTTCTTCACGATTGTGGAATAGCGGACTAACAAGCTTGAGCAGTACCAGTTCAAATAGAGCGATGAATAAGGCGTATTTTCAGTAACTACGCAAGGCGGAAGGATTTCCTTTGACTGACAGAGGTTCCGTGAGAATCTTGGGCAAATTTGGCTACGCGCCCAGCCGAGCTGCTGACAAGCACCGTTCGTGACAGTTATATTCCTGACTTAGGATCTTTCTCAATACACGTGAACGTTTATAGCCATATCAGGGAGTCGCAATTCGCCTGTATACTATTTCACAGCCATAATGGGACGTCCTTTGCCACTGGCATCAAAATCACCTCTTTTGAAGTTATCAGCAGTTGTGATGCCATGGCGCAAGATCAATATGAGCTTCTACAAGAGCTGCCGCAGCAGCTGACGGCAAGCAAACATCAGAAGATGTGAAGGTCGAAAAATGCAATTCATGTGTAGCGCATACAAAAAACCAGCTAATCATTGCAGAAGGACTGTTATATGATGTGGAGTAATGCTGGAGCTATCAAACACTACAGTTTTCAACGAAAGTTTCACTAACTCGAAAGACCAAAACTGAGTTTACTATATAATGAACCATACCTCGAACATAGCACAATACTTGCACTCGTATAGTGCTTCAGGACGGATCACGATGCCTTCTTGTTTGCTGGCGAGCTGATCGTACAGATCGCCAACCGCGAGTTCCACCATAACATTAATTCAAGGTGACTGAAATAACAAGAATTATTGGAAGGAAAAGTCAGAGCATCGTGTAAATTGTGAAAGAGTCCATATATCTAGCATTCATAGGGACACACAAAAATTAAAGACTCCAACCTCCAACTTAGGAAACGCTGATTCAAGCCCCTCGTCCAGGTTTGGCCGATGTAGTACTGACAATCTGCCACTGCCTCGATAATATGTCT